CTTGGTGGGAGGGGGGGTGCCATGCAGGTGCGGCTTGCTCCAGGCAGAAGGGGGCAGGTGGCACCAGGATGTAGCCCCTATTCCCAGGGTAGTCACGCCCACATCCCATGCCCCCAGCTGGGCAAGTGGCAGCAGGGCATAGACCTAGCTCCCCATGCTGCTGCACCCACATTTTGCCCTTTGTGCCCCTGGCTGGGCAAGCAGCGGCAATGCCCACATCCCACGCCCCCCTGCCCTGGCTGGGCAAGTGGTAGGCTGTGCCCTGCTGCTGCTTGCCCCCTTCTGCCCGGAGTTAGTTGTGCCTGCATTGCATCCCCCTCCAGCTGGGCATGTGCCAGCAGGGCGTTGCCCCCACTCTCAGTGCTGCTGCGCCTGCGTCCCCCTGCCCCAACTGGGCAGCTTGTCCCAGCCCCAATCCCTCCACTACACCCCTTCTCTCCTCCTTCTGCCCACCACAACAGACTTACCAGCTGGAGGCAGCTATGTCCAGTGTGGTGAGGACTGCTACTAGTTTAGTCTATGACCGACTCTCCGAAGTGATGCTTAATCTTTTCTGAATTGATTTGGAGGCTTCCGATTCAATTCAGACCTTTTAAGTGGTCTCCCAATTTGATTTGGATTTGGAGATTTGGTTGCCGAATCGGGCTGAATCTCCTCTGAATTGAATTGGCTACCGAAGCTTTACGCAGCCCTACAATTCAGCTGTGGGAATGAAGTGGGAGTCTAAATGTATTCAATGTAGTAGCTCACCATGACTTGAAAAAGAGTTGGCATTGAGAGGGACTGAACACAATGGGCACTACTAGATATCTGATTAAAATGAGCTGCACTACCCTATTCGTGGGGTACATTCCTGTTTTATTGCAGTGTTGGCTGCATTTAATCAACTTCATAGTTGGTTTCCATTACTGAGAACATGCAGCTTAAGGCATAAGTTTTTAATGGTAGTGTTTTTAATGATGTTTCCTTGTATGCAGATGTAAGATGAAGAGCTTTTTTCCCCCCGTGCTGATTGGGGAAAAAAAACATTGCGTTACATTCAAGTACCCACGCGTATGGGTACACACACATACACATGCACACATACGTATAAAAAGTATATTATAGTATAATATAATATAATACTTTTATTCTGTACTCTGGGCCCCGTGTCTCTTAGATTTTCAGTGTCACACTGAAACAGAATAAGTCCACAGAACAAAGGTTTTTCATTTTTGCTTCCATTCTCTTTTGATTTTACACTTTCCCATTTAGATAATTGGCTAATTCTGGGCAGTCAGAAGCCTATAACCCTATAGCAAGTTTGCTTTATCCTGTTGTAAATTACAAGAGGAAAAAAGGAAAGCCATAATATGTAATGAAAATGTATTTTCAGCTGAGAACAACTTCCATCCTTTGACCTATGCTAACTTGTCTGTATTTTTTAACTAGTTCTCACATGTCATCTTTCAGATAGCTCTTTTGAAGTGTTAACTGATATTCCATTTGGACTCCTTAAATCAACTTCACCTCTGATTAACTTCCATAGTTACAGTTCTATGCTAGACAAAGTAATTTAATTTAATTAGTTATATCTTGAAATGTCATGCTTTTTTAGGTGGTTGGTACCAACACCTTTGTTTCATACAGGCTGTTTAATGTAGTGTGTGCATATTTGAGTATATATGCTGCTGAAGGAAACCCAGACTATTGAAAATAATGTGTGTGGACCTCTCTCATTTTGTGTTCTGGCTTCTGGGGTGTTTTTTTTTGTTTTTTTTTTGCTTCTGTCACTGCAATTCCTTGTGTGTGCAGTTCAGTGAAAAGTCTGTGTGTGTTTATTTGAAATTAATTTGGTGATACATTTTATATGTAGGCAAAAGCCAGTGCATCTGTTGGAAAATTGGAAGTTGTTCATCGCTTCATGAAAGAAGTTAATCCAGATGAATCAAAAATGAATCATGAGCAGAAGAAAGAAAGTAGCACAAATCAGCTCACGTCAGACGCATCTTCATCTCTGCTAACGTCAACAGGCAGTGCTGTGGTAGGGCAGGGAATTTTTTTGAGCTTTTAATGTTCCTGTAAATCAGAAATTACATTTCACATACAATTCTTGAGGTACAATGATTCAGGGTTTATAATGCCTCAATTTGGCAAACGACTGATCAGTTTCAGACACTTTCTGACCTGTGTGTGTGTGTGTCCCCGCACGTATGTGCACGTGCATGCGGGGGGAGAGGAGGGCGTAAGGCTTATATCGACAGAAAATAGACTCCTTTTAATCCTTGTGACCTATATTCGGTCTTAATTGTAATCATCTTAATTTATAAATGTTATTCATTCTTAGCTCTGCTTCCTCTTATACATTTACTTAAAAATCAGTGTTAGAGCTGTTTTGATGGGGCATCTTAGTTTAGTTGCTCCAAGGAGATGGTTTCTTAAAATAGTTTTGAATTCTTGATCACAATTTTACACCAAACCAAGCACAGAGAAAGGGTAGAATGTGATCTCTTCAGTAATTAAGATACAAAAGTTTTAATGCTTTGTGAACAGGTATGTGTGTCTGTGGCAAGAAGAGAATTTCCATTGGGACAAATTTGATTAACGGAGTTTCTGAAATTTATTCAGGAATTTTCTACCTCATCGGCATGGACAGGTTTTGAGAATCGGGATGGTAGGTTATTACTGCATGGCACCTTTGATGAGGATGAATCTTCAAAGTCCTTTCAGGAAGCTTTAACTCAGTGGAGGCATGGAAATCATGAACTCAAAAAGAAACAAAACTCTATCAAAGCTGAAGCAGGTATTATTTTGTTCCATGCATTTTAAGAAAGAAATCCTCACTCATTTTGGTTGGTAGCACGTGTTTCAAAGCTTATGTACTGAGTAGCCTAAATAAGCATTTATACACTCAAGTTGCAAGATATGATTTTTTTTTTTTTTTTTTTTTTTTTTTTTTTTTTTTATAAAAATGACAGATAAA